TAATGTAAAAATTTCACCTATTTAACTTGTCATGTCTCGGCTTTCGTTATTGTGACAGTAATGAACCTGAACAAAAACTAAATGCGCATGTTTATCAGGCACGTTATTGGATTTTAGACCTTATAACAGGCGTCTTAAACTCCTATTATCTTTTGTATAACTACAAATCACAAGATTCATTGTCATCATATGCGTGGAATTGACTCGTATTTTAAGAATAGTGTCGGGTAGGATCGCCATATTTTATATATTTTTTTCGGTATCAAAAAGGGCAAGGTGTGATACCGCCTGCTGAGTTATGTCGATCAGGGAATAATGTTCTAAACTAGATTTCATGGTCTGATGATTTTGAGAAAAGGTTCATCCACAATTTGGGCCAATTAAATAGCTCTACTAACCCTGGGACTCTTTGCTAAGTACAAGTAGATACAATAATTTTAATAGCATAAGGAAAAAAAAGTTAGGCAACAATTTGTTGTTACAATAATGGAAATTTTCATCATCAAATCTTATTTATTCGTTAATATAGGTCCTTTCTGTTTGTTCTGATGCTGATGGTTTCTCTCCTACACTACTACCTACTACAACAAATAAATAAAATTAAAGTGTCTGTTTGTAATGTCAAAATAACATTTTTTTTACTAAATGCAATTAAAAGTATATACGGTACTTATAAAAAAATTATATTTAAAAAAATTGTCTGTTTGTCTGTCGGTCTGACTGTCCGTCTGTCTGTTTATTCCGACTAATCTCTAAAATGGCTGAACCGATTTTGGCGGGACTTCCTCTGGCAGATAGCTGACGTTATAAGGAGTAACTTAGGCTTACTCACTTTTATTTTAGAAAAACAATTAAGGTTCTGACGAAAAACATCAAAACCCATGAAATCCAACCGTAATAATTCCACGCGGACAAGTCGCGGGGAACAGCTAGTCAATACATATAATAACATTTCATCCGTCCTGAATACGTTCACGATATCATGGAAGTTTACTTTACTTCATCTCTCATTCACTTGTATCTAAAGAGAAACGACCATTTGTTTACAATAAATTTATGTATAATCATAGTAAAACCACAACCGGTTTCCGTTTTTACTGTGGTATAACGTAATATATTCGTATCTTGATCATTAAATATTGTATTTTGTAATGTCATCGTATAATACACGAAAAAGCTAAAGCTATTGTATAAGTAGCTTGAAATCGATATCGTAGCACTCAGTTCCTTCTGTTCCTTAATAAAAGTCCTAGGTTTACTACTTTGTAGTTGGTAGCCCCAGTATTGGGCCAAGTTCACGATTGTTGTAAACGCGTCAAACGTTAGCTTTCACAAAACAAAAACATGTAAAATGAGCACTTCGTTCCGGTTTCAACGCCGCGCCGCTAGATATGCGTTATCTGTCAATAAACACCGTGCAACCATCATCCTGTCTGAACTCTAGGGTTCGGTTTCTTTTTTGTCAAAAGAAAGCTAAACAAAGAATATTAATGTAACATTTCATAGTTTTTTTTTTCTATTTAAAAAAACGTTACATCCACACAAGGTTTTCCTCCTGTACCGTGGGGGCAGTTTACATAACTGAAAAAATTATTTATAAGCCGTCAAATAGTTAAGTGTATGCTTTCAATCTAAAATCATCAAAATAATAAAAAGCCGCTACAAATAAATAAAATTGAATTGTCAGCTAGAAAGCTCAGAAAATGCATTTGAAAGTATATACTAGAGATGGGCCGAATATGGATTTCACCGAATACGAATAATCGGCCGAAAGTTCCGTAAAACTTTTACCGAATCGAGTATTCGGCCGAATACGAATATTCGGTAAAGTTGCCGAATATACCGAACACCGAATATGAAACGAATATTCGGCCCATCTCTAGTACATACGGTACTTAAAACAAGAACAATTTTTGCCTGCTCCGGCTAATCTCCTAACGGACCGATTTTGACGGGACTTTCACTGGCAGATAGCTGATGTTATAGGGAGTAACTTGGCTACTTTTGTTTTTGAAATCAAGTTAGGGTTCCGCGCGAAAAAAACCCGTGAAATCCAATCGTAATAAATTCCACACGGACGAAGTCGCGGGGAAAAGCTAGTCCTTCAGTAAGATAGGGGAGTGAAACAGTTTGAATGTACAAACAAAAATCGATAAAAACCAGCGTAAACGAACACAATATACGTTGGCGGTCCCATAATGAATTGGCCTAACTATGAACCGATGAAGGAAATGAAACGAAACCAATTTTATTTTTCAATATAATCACCATGAATTCTAACACACTTCTGACATCTGTGAATCAACATCTCTAAACCTTTATAAAAATAATCACATTATTTATCCTCAAAATGACTGAAGACGGCCGCCTGCAACTCTTCATCGCTTGAAAATTTTCTTCCTCTTAAGTCCCGCTTTAAATTTGGAAATAAATAATAGTCGGACGGGGCCATGTCTGGACTGTAAGGTGGATGTTGAACTTCTGTGAACCCGCATTGACGAACTGCATCCTTCGAAACACCAGCGGTATGAACAGGGGCGTTGTCATGGAGCAACAGGACACCTTTAGACAGCTTGCCTCTTCGTTTTTCCTTTATCTTGTCTCGTAATTTATATATTAAAGAAGCATAACATTCGCCGTTCACGACTGTATTACGTTCTTTAAAATCCACCATCAAAATGCCTTGAAAATCCCAAAATATTGTGCACATCAGTTTTTTAGTCGATTGTTGCACCTTTGCCTTTCTAGGGGGCTTTTCACCCTTATAACGCCATTCCATTGACTCGCGCTTGCTTTGTGATCAATGAACAAGATCATAGTTTCATCACCAGTCATTAGCCGCTCGATCACAGTCTTTGGATTTTCGCCACAAAGATCCAAAAACTTCGGAGCGCAGCGCACTCTTTCCTGTCTCTGTACCGCTGAAAGAAGTTTCGATACCCATCTTGCACTCACTTTTTTCATGTGAAGATGTTCATGGATCGCGCGATGAACGGTACTCTTAGAGAGCCCAAGCCTTGCTGCAATTTCTCTAATCTTCAAACGGCGGTCACTCAGAACCTCCTCTTCGATAAGAGCAATCGTTTCGGGAGTGAGCACTTCCACAGGTCGACCGTCGTGGCCAAAGTCTTCGACGGTTTCTCTCCCGAGGCGAAACTCTTTCACTCAATTTTTCACTGTGCTATAGGAGGCGGCAGACTCCTTATACACGCCATCCAATCGTTCTTTTATTTGGGCAGGGGATAAACCTTCTTTAAACAGAAACTTTATGACACTTCGATACTCAGTTTTCGACATTTTGAAAAAATACGCGACTCTCGTTATTCAAATGCCTGTTAAACTAAGACTAAGCATTTTATGTCGATGCATGTTTCTTATATTAAGTGCACGATAAACGTACTATTTAATGCAACACAACATGTAGCGATATGTCGCGTTGAACTATATCAGGCCAGTTCATTATGGGACCGCCTGGTACATAGCTATCGTTAAGCGTCGATGCTCCGGAAAGCCTGCATTCTGCAAACACTTCCGGAATACGAAACGTTGGGGCGTTTTTTGACGCCAAATGCCAAATTTTAAAGGCTAAGAATCTTCACAAAAAACACCGATATCTACCAAGGATGATGATGGTGGCGTCTTAAGAAAATCCATCACCCCTTTTCGTTCCGTGGGTGTCAGAAAGACCTTATAGCTTCCGAAAATGGTGGTATTATCATCTCGCTTACGCTTGAACTAAAAGACATCCAAACCGGCGATGTTTAACAGCGACAGATTCAGAGGTGTGAGACTTCTGCTACCGCGTTCATCAATCAGGTTGTCAAGCATGGTGATGAACGCAAATCATTCAAAAATTCAACGCGAAAAGTTGCCCAGCTGTAGACATTAACGGTATTATAAAGAAAAAGTCTTGTAATAAAGACTGGGAGAGCATACACAAATTGCCAAAAGGCAATAAGTCCGCCCTCTGTATAAGGTCTTTCATTTAAAAAAGTTTAATTAAATGAATTAATAAGTAAAGCCAGCCACATACATACAGAAATACGTTTCACGATTCCGTTCCGGAATTCCAATTCGGGATTCCAAACGCAGCAAGTTCATATAATATCAAGGGCCTGTCACACACCTACGTTAGTTTTCCGTTCGAAATTTTGCGGGCAAAACGCGATTCCGTATGTGTGTGGTCGACCCGTTCGTTTCGTTTCGGAATTCCGTATATTTAGGAGGCGGCCCTAAGGCCCGCCACTACATATGGAATTCGGTTTCGGGACTCCGTTTTGGAATTTCGATTGGGGATTCCGTTTCGGAATTCCGATTCGGGATTCCGAACGCAGCAAGTCCATATAAAATCGACTTTTGTGTTTGCGGACAAAACGGGATTTCTCATGTGTGTGGCTGACCCGTTCATTCCGTTTCGGAATTTAAACGGAATCTCGAAATGGAATTCTTACGGAATGTGGCCGACCTTAGACTGTTACAGAAAATAGGTTTTCAAAAGTAGTAATTTAGTTGGTATGTTTTTGGAAGTTATAGTCTAAATTATAATTGCATTCTGTCACTCTACATTATGGGTAAGCCGTGGTAGCTCAGGAAAGCCGTGGTAGCTCAGGAGAGCCATGGTAGCTCAGGAGAGCCATGGTAGCTCCAGGGTTAAGCGCTCGCTGTAAATATCACAGTACGCTAGCAACCCGGGTTCATTCCCCGCCAGCACCAACGAAATTGTTAATTGCAATTTTAATTGTTACCACGTGCTCGGCGGTAAAGGAAAACATCCTGAGGAAATGTGCACGTCTGAGAAATAAAAAAAAATATTTCGAAGACGTGAAGTTAGCTAACACGCATTTGGCAGCGCAGCAGACATTTCCTTGCCTTCCTGTATTTACAGTTTACAGCCTGTATATGTATTATACTGTATAAGGCTGAAACATAACTTACTTTTACATTATTATTTAATAAGATGGATATCAAAAAATTTACTGACAATTTATTTCAATTTACAGATATTACTGCGGTTCATCATATGGGAAGAATTACATAGGTAAGTATTTACAATATTTTTAAACCAACAAATTATGTGTAATTAGCTATTTTTATTTAATCTCGGGTTCAGTTTCCTTTTTCAATTACTAAGGACCTTGATTGATTTTCCAATCATCTTTTGTATGTAACATCATTGCAATCACATATAAAAGAAAACAAGGAGAAAAGTTAAAGAAGGTAACCTTGCAAGAATATAAGAATCTTTTTGTCCATTTTTTTTTCTAAAAATAACGCCAAGCTTTTTAGAGGCCAATTTGGTTATTAAAATTGCCAGCACCAATGAAATTGTTAATTGCAATTTTGAGTGCTGATTTACCACGTGCTCGGCGGTGAAGGAAAATATCGTGAGGAAACCTGCATGTCTAAGAAATAAGAAAAAATAATATTTCGAAGACATGTGAAGTTCGCCAACACGCATTGGGGCAGCGCGGCGGACAATTCCTTGCCCTAAAACCCTCTCAGAAATGAGCGGAAAAGGCCTGTGCCCAGCAGTGGGACGTATATAGGCTGTAACTACTTTACTTTACTTTTACATTACTCTTTGGGAACTGTTATCCTACAGTAATCTATGTTATCCCGATATCCCAACCTATCATATGTAAATCAGAACAACGTCTATCTGTGTACCGAAAATAATTGAAATTCTTTAAGATTCATGATGACATACAAATATATTCACAGTTTTTTACAATTATAAAATATTGCTTAGTACTTATAGAAAAACAATCAAAGATTTTCTTCATATTGCGCGAATTCTGCATTTATGCATTATATTCTACTGCATTATATTCTACTTATTAAAATATTAAAAGACCGCATGATTCAGCGACCAACCGGCGCGTGCTTTATTCTTAGTCATTACTTCAGGTATTCTGAGAGCCAATAATGTGGTTACAAATTATTGGTTTGTGAGTTTGTGACCGACCGCGTATTTCTAGCACTTTGTTGGAGCTTATGATTAAGTCATATTTTTAAGGCTTAATAATCATGCGATACGGTGATTCAAAATACGTTAAAATTAATAAAAGAAAATACGTCCAAAAATATTAAATGTAAATATAATATATTAAAAGTAAAAGTATGATAAGAATATTATAATGTTATCATTAAAATATTAAGTTATTATTATTTAACATAATAAATTTACAACTTATATTATTAGCATAATATATATTCTTAAGACACTCAAGGGACGGCCCTTGAGTGTCTTAAGAAACGACATAGGGTATTGAGAGGGAAATGCGACACAGGGAAACAAGCAATGAGTGGCTGCGCTAGTGGTCGCGGGTTCGAATCCCGCACGGAACAAGTATTTGTATGGCCTATAAATAATTGTTCCGGGTCTGGATGTTTGTCCTTGTGCACTTTGTGTTTGTAAACTGCCCCCACGATACAGGAGAAAATCCTAGTGTAGGGGTAACGTATTTAAAAAAAAACCCCGGAGATAGGCAGTGGCATCTTCCTAATACCAACTGGGAAATAAAAAGTTGCGTTTACCAACTTACCTGCCAAGCGTGGCAAATATACCAAGTATTCTAATGAGTCAATCTATTGCGAGGACTTTAAAGGCTGTAGTGATAGTCATAGTGCTATTATTTATTCTGTGGTCATAGTGATTAACTTATTATATTAGCATCTATACATTGATAGTATGACTCAGCGAACGTAAAGTCCATTTATTGAGACGACGGCTGCGTGTTTGAATCCCGCACGGAACAAGTATTTGTATGGCCAAGAAATAATTGTTCCGGGTCTAGATATTTGTCTTTGTGAAATTTATGTACTTATGTTAACTGCCCCCACGATACAGGACAAATTCCTAATGTGGAGGTAACGTTATACAAAAAAGAAAAAAGTTTTGTTATTAATGTGACATTTAAAGCGGAACTTTACTCGAACCTATCTGGGTCTCACCGATTTGGGTTTAAAAACTTGTTGTCCTACCATCACAGTAACAAATGGTAAGAGCTTGAGAATATTCAACTATTAAGTTGAAGTAACGTGGTTTATTTTAAAAAGTGCATCTTCCACGTAGCAGCCCGTTGGGTTATTATATATCTAGAATATTTGACAGCCACCCTTCTATCTATAAATGGCAATAATGTCCTTCTGGAGTGTTCCACAGTCAATTCTTACGACACTCCCGGAGCAAGAAGAGATGTTGGGTCTTTTACGCATTTTCACACCACTTGCCGAGGACTTAATTATTAAATTTAAAAAAAAAATTACAGCCTATATACGTCCCACCGCTGGGCTCAGGCCTCCCCTAATTTTGACAGGGTATTAGGGCTAGGAAGTGTCCACCGCGCTGCCCCAATGCGTGTTGGCGAACTTAACATGTATACGATTTTTTTACTTATTTCTCAGACATGCAGGTTTCCTCACGATGTTTTCCTTCACCGCCGAGCAAGTGGTAAATTCGTGCTTAAAATTGCAATTAACAATTCCACTAGTGCCGGTGGGGATCGAACCCGGTTTACTCGCGTACTGTGAAATTTACCGCAAGCGCTAACTATCTGAGCTACCACGGCTCACTTAATTATTAATAACAATAAATGTATAATGTATGTAACTATGATAGAGACATAACCATATTTTTTCGCCAGACTTAAAGTACCTATACAATCGACGGTTCGCAGCGTCAAAGGTGCAAGAATATCAGGTTTAATATGGCGATCGTCAATACGTCAAGTGTGACGAATAAGGCGAATACTTCTTATAACGGTGGTGGTCAATGCTCAGCTTTTTTTAAAGTATGTATGTCATTCCTCTAGATGGCAATTGACTTTGCAAAGGTCTATGTCGATCCCTGTAAATTTATTATATAACTGAAATACATATTTTGCATTGACAGTACTGTTGAGGCAATGCTGCAGAAAATTGGCAAGAATATATATTTTTACTACGTACAATCGATATCAAGGGTTTGCTCACAGGTCTGATTTCGTATTCCAACAACACTTGAAAAAAGTTATACGATGTAGCCGCATTGTATGTAACTAGATAACTATTCATGTTATAAGGTTCTGTTATAAGACACGAAATTAAAATTTTATGGCTTGATTACCTTATCATAATCTTATTTAAACAACAGTTTTACGTAAATTTTTGTAACAAAATATGTTAGAGAAAGTTAATGTATACGGTGAAGCTTAGTTAATAAAATATTTATAAGATTCATAGTTATCGAGTCATAGTCAATCATTTATTTATAAAAATCTACTACTGTATATTGATTAATTGACTCGACGAGGAAAATTCGTAAATGCATCGATTTTGGTAAGTAAGCTCGAAGCGTAGCTCTAAAATACAAGCAGTATGCGACTGTCGCAGCAACAGACTTGTCGCAGCTATGTTTGTTCCCCCATCGGTTCTGAATCTTTTCTAAAGTGGCAAACGAGTTAATAGTCTACCTCATGTTAAGCGTCATCTGCTACTGCTATGGACACCTATGTACCTCCAGCTTCAAATGAAGAATGCTTTAGGTGCGTTATCACCGTTGTCACGTGGTAAAGCGATGCTGCAGATATACGAGTATTATGGTTGTGGCAAGAATGGGTCTGATCGACCGGTGAAGGAGCACGCTCTCACAGAATACGATCAACACGGACAATGCATCTGCATTTTGATTCTTAATCGAGGATAGATGTAAATGTACATTAGTCACAGCATCATTTACTGCTCTGACTGTGTGCTCGCGGATTATCTTAACATAAGCCTTATTACAGGTTTCCCTATATTATATTATATATCGAAAATTCAATATTTAAAAAAATATTAACAGTTTTAATTTGAATTGATCAGTTGGAATGATTAGTTGAACTGACCGTGTGTGGCGACCATTAGAAGGTAGCCTACTATTCTGTTTTTACTATGCCTAAACTATGATGCTGGTTGCGGATTTGATGATGCGTTAGTGTGTGTTCTTGCTTTAATGTGAGAATGATTTTGGCTTGGTTTCGGCATATCTTGAAAAGTACGCAGGGCTTTACCTATCTTTGTTTATTGATCTAAGTCTACAATAGAAGACGCTCATTATTATTATCATTATATATATACATATCACAAGAAGATTATTTGCAAAAATTACCACGCTTGGCAGGTGATTTAGCAACTGACTGATTATGAGAACAAGAAATATACCTTAACTCTTTTAATCGATGAGAATCGATTATTCCATTGCATCAAGCACATAATTTAATCATTCGTTTCATTTTATTTCTTAAATCTAAAATGTTACGCGGGAAATAGGTAGTATTTATTACACAATATTTTTCAGCGTGCCTTAATTGTTTAGCAATTAAATAATAGAAATTAGACACGAACGTTTAACATTTTAACTTTATGCTCAAGGCAATTACGTTAGAAATATATATTCTTTGATAAATTACCCTATATTTTTATCAATTTATTTAATCGATGTTTAATTATAACTCAATGGCTTGAATTACTTTGTTATTTTGACGGTTATGATTACACATGAAATAATCAAAAGGTTCCTCCTGAATGTGAGAGAAATAATTATATTATACCAATAAATACAGCGTTTATCAAATGCTAAAGTTGAACAAAAGTTTTACAACATATTATATGTTTACATGCCGAGAGCATTTAATGTTATGCAACTCAGCACAGCAATGCGCAGTGACCGAACCCAAAAACTTTAGACTTTATAATGCATTGTAATGGTTAATTTATAATCCATCCAATAGAGTCTATAAAAGTTTAAAAGCACATAGACCTCCGCCATAGATCTGCCTCTTAGGGAAGAATTTGCCGTAGTTTCTACGTTTGGCAAGCGGGTTGGCAACCGCAACTTTTTTTATTACTTTCAGTTGTTATCAGGAAGGTGCAGCTGCCCGTCACCTGCTTCAATTTCCCTCTGTCGCCTCTTACGACACCCACGGGATGATATGGAGTAGTGGATATTCTTACACCGTCACTATCGATTTATAATACTTATACTAACAATTGTGGTGTTTTTATTGAACTCACACA